GATGACATGTTGTTGATTTAGACGGTAAGGGGAAAATTGATAATACAATTTAATTCAAGTCTTTAATTCGCTAAAAAAAAAGGTCAGGGGGTAAATTAATAATTATGTACAAGTTCAGGGGGCATTTTAGTAGTTTACCCAAAAAAAACAAAAGCGGCACTCAAAATTTAAAAAGAGTTTGATAGAGAGACTGAAATTTTTAGCTAAAGAGTGAGGGAGAGTGAGGGAAATTCGGATAGTTTCTTTTAGGAACATTGTACTGTAGTAAAGTAATATAGTTTTGACAACATGAGCTGAGCGTTGTTGAACTCCAGATACAACAACACGCCAGGATGCGTTGTTAAAATATCCTCGAAATTCCATTTCAACAACGCGCATTTATAGGCTGTTGTTAAAAGCGATATAACACAACACACATACTCTATACGTTGTTAAAAGCCTAATTCCACAGCGCAAACTTACGCACGTCGCAAATTAAACACTTCCATACCTATTTGCGATGTGAGATGCAACATTACTAATTAAAGTGTCGCAATTATTTTGGCGCGAATCACCCCCACTTAAAATTACATGTATTTGCGAGGGCCGCGTCGACCGTCGCAAATATTTGTCGCAAATGGGCATTTTTCTTGTAGTGAATGGTTTCTTCTAAATCGAATGCGAATTGTATCCCTCTATACAATTCTCCCTATTAGCGAATGCTAATTGCAATTAGTCCTTACAAGGCTTCCATAAACCATGAGTGACACCTAGCAATATGTCAAGGCTAAGGATTGAAATATCGGCTGATACACCGATATATTGGTATTTTCAACTGTCGACATCGATACTGGGGGGTAAGGCCATATCTTCCCATGTATCGATGATATATCCCTAATATGTGCGATATCCTCGATATTTTGTCGATATCCTCGATATTTCCAAATACCAATAACAAAACCCCAAAAAAAAATTCATAAGTTTTGAAGCAAATTGAAACCCAAAATACTGACATAGTCCACTGAATTGGAGGTATGTGGCCAATGATTAGATGTTTTTGAAGGCAATTGGCAATATCCAATTCAAAAGAGTTTTTGGGTTATCCATTAATTATTAATATGAAGAATCCATGCACAATCAATTGGCAATATCAAATTCAGGCAATTGGAAATATCCAATTCACTACCCACATACCTCCAAACAATCTGACTACCTTTAGTTCCATCAAAGCCAGAGAATCATCGAACTAGAATCCGTAAAATAGAGTCTGCAAAGCCCATATACCATTGTCCCCCAACCCCCAAAACTTCCCACTGTTATCACGAGAGAAGCCCTCTTTAAATCAGAGGCTATTTTGCTTCTTTTGGAGTACCAAATCTTCACTTCTGTTCTTTCTCTATGAGCTTTTCAATTTTTATTTAGTTTGTGAGCTTCTTTCCTTGTTTGCAAGTTCTCTTTGACTGTTGTTTCAGGTATGTGGTGCTCTCCCTCATGTCTGTATTATTTCTGTGATAAATTTGATATTGTAAGTTAATTTAATATATTTAAGTGCGATAGATTAAAAATGGCAAGTAGTAGTGCACCGAGTGGAGCTAGTGTGCCTGGTGGTATTGATGTGGCATAGAAATATTCTCATCCAATAGAAGGCAATAAGCATGGCACAATATGCACATTTTGTGACACCACATTTAAAAGTGGTGGAATTACATGGCTAAAGTATCATTTGGCCGGATTTGATCCACATAAGAGTGTAAAGAAGTGCAAAGAAGTACCACTAGATATTAAGAAGGAGATAATTGCATGGATAAAGGATAAAGAGTCTAGCAAACAACATAAGAAATCTGTTGAAGAAAACATAAGATCTACAGCAAGAGGGGATACATGGGAAATAAAAGTAGCAATCCTATTGATGATGATGATGATAATGAGGATGGATATGCATATCCTCTAGACATGCACCCAGCGGAGAAAGAAGATTACCTTGCTGCCATTAGAGTGTTGAAGCAAGAAGAACGGTTTAGACAAGAAGGAGTTTACAGAATGGGAAGCAAACGATTTGCAGGGGGAACAAGTGGTAGTAGTCAACCGCAATACCGTCGCACTCAAAGCCTTTGAGACCCACTCTGATCTCCTCCGGAACCAATGACACACAAGAACACTAGAGCAAAATAGAGAACAATCAAAGGCATGATTAGAAACTCAGCAGAGGTACTTAGAAGATATTGCAGCAAATTCTTCATACTTGAGAATGTGGCTCCTCAAAAAGCAAGTTCCCCTCATTTCAAGAACATGATTGATGCATCCCAACAAGAAGGTTTTGCTTTATTCCTTACGACTTCTCTTTCTTGAACTTAAATATTCTAAACCCACCAATTGCTAATATGAGTTCGATTATATTAGTTCAAGGTGTAGCCACACCATCGCCGTATGAAATAAAGCATAAGTACTTAGATATGGAACACATAGATATGCAAGCCTATGTGGAAAAGGTAAAGGAAGATTGGGGTGTGTATGGATGCACCATCATGAGTGATGGATGGACTGGCCCGACGAGGTTGTCCATAATAAATTTCATGGTATACTCAAACGGGAAAACTATTTTTTTGAAATCAGTGGATGCTTCAGATAAAACCAAGGATGCAAAGTACATCGCCAAATTGTTGAAGGATGTCATAAAAGAGGTTGGGCTGTCGAATGTTGTTCATATTGTCACCGACAATGGTTCAGCCTTTGTTAAGGCTGGAGAGATGATGATGGAGCGGTACCCTATTTATTGGACTCCTTGTGCTGCACATTGCATATATCTAATATTTGAAGATATTGGGAAGCAAGAGTCGGTGGCTAATGTCATAAATAAGGCTAGGAAATTAACCAACTACATTTACAATCATGGTTAGCTATTGGCTCAAATGAGGATCTTCTGTTAAGGGGATTTGGTCCGACCTGATGCAACCTGGTTTGCGACAAACTACATCACCATCAATAGCATCTTATATAAGAAAGTTGGGTTCATACAACTTTTTACAAGTGAGGAATGGTATGATAGTCGATTCAGAGAATCAAGAGATGGGAAGAGAATTGAAAGTCGAGTCATTGATCATAGATTCTGGGAAGGAGTACAATCCATCTATGAGCCTGCGAATTGTTGACACGGAGGTAATTCCTACCATGCCTATCTTATATGATATGTTTCACATAATGAAAGTGAAGATTTCCAAACTGAAGGGAAAAAAAATGGATTCTCAAAATCATCAATCACAGATGGGATGTCACATTATCTCGTCCATTACATCAAGCTGGTACGTTTTAATCTCTTAGTAAAAAAGTGCATCGATTTTTAAATTTATACAACGGGTATTAGCTAATCTTCATATTTATAGCCCACTACTTGAACCCTAGATATCAATATGAAACAGGGGTTGGCCATAATAAAGAGTTACTTTCAGGACTCCAACGCGTATTTGAAAGGTTGAACCCAAATGGGGATAGAGGTTTGCAAGCATTTGGGGCTGAGGTAAGTGAACACAAAACAATGTCTTCCTCGTTAAGTTTAGTTTTATGCATACTGAACACAAAATATTGTGAATCCAGGTGATAAATTTTAGAGACTGTAGAAAGACATTTCGCACTAAGATGGCCGTCAAATCAAGAAAATTGATCCCCCCAATAGAATGGTGGAATCTTCATGGTGATTCTGCCCCGAACTTGCAAAAAATTGCTATGTGTATATTGTCATAGACAGCGTCATCATCTGCATGTGAGCAAAATTGGAGTACATTTTCTCTTATTCACACGAAACAAAGGAACGGTCTCGCATATACTAGGCTGGAAAAGATTGTCTTTTGCAATTATAATATGAAACTTAAGCTACGTGATGAAGAGGTCGAAATGAACAAGATTGCAGAAAATGACTACATAGACCTTCTTGATATTGCAGGGCAATCATCTGATGATGATAATAATCGAATTCAACAATGGATTATGACAGCTCACTTGGATGATGAACAAGGCAGTCCTAATGCCGTTATAGCACAACATGTTGCCCAAGAAGGAGTTGATGTTGATAGAGTCATATCCGAAGATGTTAGGAGTTGAGATACTTCATCATTTGAAAGGGATATATGCTTGGACCTTGGCAAGGTCAAAGACGTCCCTTGAGTGACAATGCCAATACTAGTAGAAAGGAAAGTTCATCCAATTCGTCAGATAATGATGGAGGAAGTAATGATGGGTCAGGAGGTAATGAAGAAGGAAGACAATATAGCCCATTTGCTATCAAGGGTGATTTTACTCATGCCACCCAAGATGATGCAGAGAAGCTGGACTA